CTGGGATTACAGGCACACGCCACCATGCCCAGCTAATTTTTGTATTTTTAGTAGAGACGGGGTTTCACCATGTTGACCAGGATGGTCTCGATCTCTTGACCTCGTGATCCACCCACCTCAGCCTCCCAAAGTGCTGGGATTACAGGCTTGAGCCACCGCGCCCGGCATGGCCCTTCTTAAAATGAGTTATTCCTTTGTAAACTGCTGATTTCTTTGGGGGCATCGTCCCTATAAACTTTTTGTAAGTATCAGTGATTTCACCATTTTTCCACTCAAGCTTCTCCGTAAATTTGATGTTTGTTCTTGCTTCAATTTTAGCAGGATTTATGTTGCTCTGATAGGTGCTCTTTTCAAATTGATGTCTTATCTTTTCTAATGCCTCAAGCTAGGTCCTATTCAGACATGTTGTAACAATTTACTGTGAGTTTATTTTAGTACCAAAAATATTTGAGATTTATACATAGCTTTTTCATAATACATATTTTTCATGGACTTATGAAGACCCCCATATAACCAAAGTTTTTTTGTTTATTGAATTTTTATATCCCCAAAAGGAGCTGGATTATGCTGAGTTATCCATGATTTTTTATCTGATTCATCTAGGTGCAATTTCCTAGGAGAACCAGGCAATCAAGTGTCAACCTGTGGCTTCTCTGCCCCTCCTGCCCCATCCCTGGTCACAACAATTTCTACTTCTTGTAGAAAAACCCAAAGATTGCTCAACTCTTAAAATTATGTGAATCTGAGGATGTGACCAAAACCATTATGCAGACATTGGCACAATTTGAATTTGAAACCCCCAATGAAAAGAAAACCAATCAAAAGCCTAACTGTTTTGTTTTAATATAATTATTAATTTATTGCAGAGTACCTTTAAGAATGCTCACCTCTTATTTTAGGATACAATAAAAATACCTTTTCAATTTAGTGGTTTTTAAATCGGAAATCAAAGTTCTCTAGTTCTTAGGTAAGTCCTAGCTGTCAGTTTTTAGACTGGTGGGCTCCCTTTACATCTTTTGTCATATAGGACTTTGTATTTACAGAAAAATGGCATTGCTCAGAAGCATTCTTTGTCTCAGGGATTGACTGTTGACTTGGCAAGCAAAGTTGAAGTTACTGTGACTAGGATGGCACTTAGACAAGGGCACATGTTCTGTGTGCCCTTGCTGCTAAGGTTGGAAGTAAAGGATCAGATCACAGGTCTGCAGACTTTACTGTAAAGGACCAGATAGTAAATATTTTAGATTTTGTGGGACATACAGACTCTGCCATTATGACTTAATTTTGCTATTGCAGCACAAAGCAGCTAAAAACAAACGAGTATGTAATGTGTATAATGTGTAATGTGCATATGTGTAATGTTCCAGTAATACTTTGTTTATAAACCAGGATTCAACCTAATTTGGCCTGAAGGCCATAGTTTACTGACTTCTAGAGTAAAGGAAGGGTGGTTCTCACCTTCATGAGCTTCTAGTTTAAAGGTGGAGTCCTTGCTCTTGTGCGTACTATCTTGTAAGGGAAGGAGTTGGGAGTAGAAGGACGTGATATAGAGATACACCAGAAGTAAATACAGTCTGTAGGAACAAAGTGACATTTTATAAAGTGAATGTATAAATTTTGAGGTCATCAGAGTGACACCCACTCAGTAGTGGAGTTAATTGGAGGTGTTGAGAACTATTGAATGTATGTGAAATTAAATTTGTCTAATGGTCATTTTATGTTTGCTTTTGGTATAGCCCCAGATCCTGGGACAACTGGTACTCCAGTTGGGAGTACAATTGGTTCCACACATCCTGGGACAGTTAGTACCCCAGATCGTGGAACATCTGGTACCACTCCTGTTTCTGCTGAATGTCCAGTGGTAAATGAATTGGAACGAATTAATTGCATTCCTGACCAGCCACCAACAAAGGTTTGAGTTATGAATTTTGTTTTCATTTAAGAATTTATGCAACTTGATAGTTTATTTTTTGGCTTTTGTTTTGTTTTGGTTTTCCTCATTAGTAACTCTTAAGAGAGTTGTTTATGTTGCAGCCGTTATGGCTTGGGCAAACTAACCTGTATCCATGTTTGTATGACAGTGCAGCTTCGGGAAAGGAAGACCTGGAAAATTCCGCTGGGTTGCCACATTCAGCAAATAAAAGTGCAGTTTCCCACCTAAATTCAAATTTCAGAAAAACAGTGAATAAACTTTTAGTATAAGTGTGTCCCATGAAAGATTTTGGGCTTACTTGCTAAAAATGTTATTTGTCTTTTATATGGCAACACTACATGATTACTAGTTCCTTCTGTCTCTGTTCTTGCCCTGTACGTCTCTCCTTCTCCTTTCAGAATTTCCAAAGCTCATCTAAGAGCTACAGTAAAAATTCATACACATTCACAAAAGATTATGTTAAATAAGGGCAAAGTTTCAAGAGATATGTTTTTGAAGGAAGAAGGTAATTAATCTCAGATTAAAGATAGCGCAGATACCTGGGCATTTACTTTAGGCCAGTGTTTCTAGATTATCGGCTCTAAGTCCAGCTGATTATGATGATATAAAGCACTTTGCACATACCCTATATTGGGTATGCCTAATTTACAGAAAGTTGATGCACACGCATTTACTTTCCCTGTCACATGTGCTAGTTACTCAATAGCTCAGTTGAGCTGTACTCAATAGCTCACTAATTACTTGGAAGCTCACGTAGATTGTCACGCCTTCCGTACTTGTCAGGCTCCTGCAACTCTCCATCTTGTGATTGGATACTGGTGGACTTCAGATATGCCACAGTAATGTTTCTTTGGTGCTTTATTAAGACCTTTCAATAAAAAACTGTGGTATCGAAATTGCAGTTCAATAAATGGTCTTTGGCTTTTTTACATGTCATACCCAACTGAATTACTCTATACTGTTGGCATTTGTTAATTGGCATGCTTTTTTGCTCAGCCAAAGAGAAATAATGGCACTTTCAATGATCCATTTTCTTGTAGATGGTATAACTTAGGCATTTTGTTGCATGTTTTATGAATCCTGAGAACTGTATGCTGATCCAGATTGTTGAGAGCTGAGATGATGCATAATGATATGTTTGTATGATGTCATACTAAAACGAATATAGCTGGAAGAGAATGGTGGGAAGAAGTTATAAGCACAACAGACAGGCTAGGCAGAATGTTCTTTTGTTGAAGCCATTGCCATATGATTTTATCATTCTTATCATCTGTCCTCCAAGATTACATGTCAAAGAACTAAAAGAATAAATTTCTCTGCAGATGATTCTTGGTTGTAAATACCATTGTTTCATTCTCCCAATTATGGGAGGGAGTCCTTTTCTAGTACAGAAGGAAGTAATGTATAAAACCACTCTGACACCCTGAGTACCCTTGGGAGACTCTTTTTGGAGAGAATGGACTCTAGGAGTCCCCTTCACAGATCAATTATCTAACTCTAGTTCAGATTTTTAGTTCTGGGCTTGCAGCTGGTTAGAGGGCATCTTCACTGAATGCCTTCCTATCACATCAGCTGAACTCATTACCTCCTGACCAAAACTGCTTTTCCTTCCCAGCTACCAGATTTCTGTTAGCAGTTCTATTAAGCTTCTTTTTCTTGAGGCAGAAACACCAGAACTTTTGATTGGTTCATCCCTTCAATCCCTTTGGCCAGTATTTCATGTATTTTTCTTTAACAGTATTTTTCCAGAAGAAGCATTTCATTTCCATTCTCACTGCCACCCCTAGATCATCATTTCCTCATGTTTGGGTTGCTCTAGGTGCCTCCTGGCATCCCTTCTGAATTCCACTTCTCCCATCCATTTCATTCCACGCATTATTAGAATTNTTTTTGCTACAGAGTCTTACTCTGTCACCCACGCTGGAGTGATGCAATGGCAGGATCTCAGCTCACTGCAACCTTTGACTCCCAGGTTCAAGCAATTCTCCTGCCTCAGTTTCCTGAGTAGCTGGGATTATAGGTGCATGCCACCATGCCCGGCTAATTTTTTGTATTTTTAGTGGAGATGGGGTTTTGCCATGTTGGTGAGGCTGGTCTCGAACTCCTGACCTCAAGTGATCCACCTGCTTTGGCCTCCTAAAGTGTTGGGATTACAGGCGTGAACCACTGCGCCCAGCCAGAAATGCTCTTTTTCACATCCAACTTTTGTTATTATTTCTACCCAACTCCAGTACATATAGTGGGTTATTACTGCATGTTGAGTCAAGTTGAAACACTCTTGTATCAGACCCAAGTTAACCTCCGTGTCTCTATAGTTTCACTTAGGCTATACTTCTATGCAGATTTTAAAGACAACTCTCTACACTTATTCCTAATCTTTGAATTCTAAAATCCTTTCCATTTCTTTGATGAAGTCTTTTATCCTCAATTCCAGAACTCAGAGTTGAAAGATCCCATTGATGGCAGGAAGCAGGAATATTTAATCAAATTGCAGATATCCAGTTTAGGAAAGAAATGATAGTTAATACTTTTAAATGCTTTGATTTTTCAGGGCTTTAAAGTACTTTGTAAACATGGGAGAGCAGGTTACATGCTTAAAGATAAACCCACATGCCCTAGGTAAACATTGCAGAGTAGTTAAGCTGAGAGAAATTCACAATGAAGTGTTTTCCAAGGACAACAATAACATTAATGGTAATCTGAATAATTTGAGAGGTTACCATATTGGTTATTCAGAAGCTTTGTCATCTTTTACAGCAAACACATTTGGTAATTATCTATGTATTACTTATTTATTTGGCTTATAATATCCTTTCCAAATTCCTGTTTGTTATCAATGTGTTTAATGGATCGTGTTTTATGATATAGCAGGAAAGATACTGCATTTTGCCAAGATCACTGTGAGTCTTCACCCTTAAAATTACTCTGTTTACACAACATCAGTTAAGAGCCATGTATCCCAGAACTTAAAGTAAAATAAAAAACATATTTAAAAAAATAGATTATACTCCTTTACTAATGAAGCTTAAAAGAAAAAAAAAGCCATTATATGGTGCTAGGAAGAGTGGTGAGCTCAGATAAAAACTTAAAAGTCTTAAAAGCCTTAAGTTTATGTTTAGCACCTTGAAATAATAGTGTAGCCATTGGACAAGTAGGGGGATGAAAGGGGAGCCAGGTTATTGGGTTACTCAGTCCACCCAGGCTTTGCTTCTGGAAAGGTCTTTGACTTGATCATTAAGTCACATTTTCTGATAAACTGTTAAATCCTTCTAAATAAAATGAGATAGTGTGTGCTCAGCTAAACGTACTCATTAAACAAATGGCTATTGAAAACTATACTAATCTCAAAATATTTTAGAATAGTGATCTCAAAGATTCTGGCAAATGTTTCTCTGAAAATTCAGGACAGTCTGATTTAGGGGACTAGAAAGACTGGATCAAAGGAATGGTAAAGGTAGCAAGTTTGTTTTTAAAAGTCTTTGCTGTTAGATTTTACCATGAGGTTAAATGAAGTGGCCAACCTAACAAACTGAATTTGAAAACCTGACTCAAGATGCACATATTATAAAATAGCCTACAATTAAGATTTTTCACTGAGTTAAGACTAATTTTATTCATTCATTTGTTCAAACTTAATGCATATAAAAAGAGCTAGGGAACATTTTGATGAATAGAGGGTGATCTGAAATTCCTTTGTCATCAAATGCTTTCAACTTCTAAAATTCCTGCTCTATTTGAAGATGGGATACTTCATCTCATTCTACTCATTTTCTTCATGTGGAGACTTTCTGGTTCCACCTTTGTTGTTCACGACATCAGGTTCTTTTGTGCTGCTATAACATAATACCTGAGACTGGGTAATCTATCTATCTATCTATCTATCTATCTATCTATCTATCTATCTATCTGTATCTATTTTTTGAGACGGAGTCTCGCTCTGTCCGCAGGCTTGAGTGCAGTGGTGTGATCCTGGCTTACTGCAACCTCCAGCTCCCTGGTTCAAGTGATTCTCCTGCCTCAGCCTCCCAAGTAGCTGGGATTACAGGCATGCACCACTGCACCCAACTTATTTTTGTATTTATTTATTTTTTTTTTTAGTAGAGACGAGGTTTCATGTTGGCCAGGATGGTCTCAATCTCCTGACCTTGTGATCCACCCGTCTCAGCTTCCCAAAATGCTGGGATTACTAGGTGTAAGCCACCGTACCTGGCCTTGGACTAGGTAATTTATCAAACACAGAAATTTATTTCTCACAGTTATGAATGGAGACTGGAAAGAACAAGGTTCTGGCATCTTGTGAGGGCCTTCTTGCTGCATTCTCACATGGTGGCAGGCAGATAGCAAGAGACAGCACACTCTCTCCATCTAGCCCCTTTAGAAGGGCCCCTTATTCCCTTTGTCTGGGAGGAGGCCTCAGGGCCTAATCACGTCTCAAAGGCCCTACCTGTCAATAATATCATATTGGCAACACCTGAATTTTGGAGGGGACACATTGCAACCATAGCACCAGCCTAACTAAAATTACCTGAAGTCTCCTATTTTCTTAGACTTCTGTTTTCTTAGAGCACAACTTCTCCATTTGTCTACTGCATTACAAACTACCCAAACTTAGCGGTTTGCAACAACAATTGTTTTATTTTATCTAGAGATTTTATAAGTTAGAGAGTCTGGCCGTGTTTGGATGAATGGTTTTTCTTTCCACATAGTATTTACTGGGATTAAATGGTATGGTGGTATTTAGTTGGTGGCTGATCTGGTCTGTAGATTTCAAAGTGGCTTTACTTACATACATGGTACCTTGGTGAAAATGGCTGTAAGGCTAATGGCATCCTCTTCCCCTCCACATAGTCTCAGAGTCTCTCTTGCTACTCTCTCCAGTAGGGTAGCTGAATTTCTTACATGGTGGCTCAGTGCTGCAAGAGACAGAGGTGAAAGCTTCCAGTTCTCTTAAATACCACACCTAAACTGGCATAGCATCA